TGCAATGCATGCCACTAGTTTCTCCTGTATGGAGAAACTAGTGGCATGCATTGCATTGAACACATACTTTTTTTCCCTGTGCCATTCCACATTATTACAAATAACTTAATTTCTGGACATTTATGGTTTGATTTCTTTGTATGTATGGATCACTTGGGTTGTTACCAACATCTGGTGAAAATTTCATGTCATTAACACCTCTAGTAACATATTTACTGAGAAAAATGTTGACGTGTTCAATACTTATTTTACCCGCTGTATCTCAGTGCTGAACAAACACTGCAGCTCCAACTTAGAGTCTCTGTTTATTAACTGTAAACACTTTTTTTTCTCCGAGGGAGTTTTCCTCTTTCATTCTGGTCGGTGTTTATATTCCAACTCAAGCCTGTGTGAGCGATGCACTGCAAAACCTGACCGAACAAATAACTGCACTGGAACTAAAACACCCAGATTCACTCTTCATCATACTTGGTGACTTTAACAGAGCTAAACTTAGCCACGAGCTTCCAAAATATAAACAACATGTTAATTGTCCCAACAGGGATRACAACTCACTGGATCACTGCTACACTGTCTTGAAAGATGCCTATCGCTCTGTTTCTCATGGAGCCCTGGGTCACTCTGACCACTGTCTGGTTCATCTTATTCCAACCTACAGGCAGAAACTGAAAACTGTAAAGCCTGTAGTGAGAACAGTAGAAAAGTGGACCAGAGAAGCAAAGCAAGAYCTTCAGGACTGCTTTGACTGCACTGACTGGAGTGTTTTTGAAGCCGCTATGGACAATCTGGATGATTTGACTGACACTGTCACATCCTACATTAGGTTTTGTGAAGATCTGTGTGTTCCAACAAAAACCTACCGCTCGTTCAGTAATAACAAGCCATGGTTCACTAAACAAGCTCAGTCAGCTTTGTCAGGCTAAAGCTGAGGCCTACAGGAGTGGGGACAGAGCTCTGTACAAAAATGCAAGGAACACATTGAGCAGGGAAATCAGAGTGGCTAAAMTATGCTATTCTGAAAGCTGAAAAGTGAGCACTCAGCCAACGACCCTGGTTCAGTGTGGAGAGGCCTTCAGCMCATCACAAACTACAGAAGACCATTCCCCGCTGCCGARGCAAAGCCCTTGCTGACGACCTGAACAGCTTCTATTGTAGGTTGARCAGAACTCATTTACACCTATCCASAACCCCACAGCTCATCAACAAGACAGAGGGACCCTCTGTCTCTCCCTCCCCCCACCACTCAAGCTGCATTCCAGATATGCGAAGATGAWGTGAGCCGATTGTTCTGGAAACAAAAGATCAAGACAGCACTAGGACCAATATCTCACCTTCCTGCCTTAAGACCTGCACTGAACAACTAGCRCCAATCTTCACAAATATATTCAACAGATCACTGGAGCTGTGTGAAGTTCCTTCCTGCTTCAAACGCTCCACCATCATTCCAGTCCCAAGAAACCCTCCATCACAGGACTGAATGACTACAGGCCCGTCGCCTTAATGTCTGTGGTCATGAAGTCCTTTGAACRGCTGGTCCTGACYCACCTGAAGGACATCATTGGTCATCTGCTAGACCTCCTGCAGTTTGCCTACCGGGCAAATAGGTCAGTGGATGATGCAGTCAACATGGGATTGCATTTCATCCTGCAACATCTTGMTYACMCGGGGACTTCTGCAAGAATCYTGTTTCTTGATTTTAGCTCGGTGTTCAACACTATCGTCCCTGACATTCTTTCCACCAAACTCTCCCAACTCACTGTTTCTCCTGCCATGTGTCAGTGGATCACYAGCTTCCTGACAGGCAGGACACAGCAGGTGCAGCTGGGGAAAATCATGCCCTCACAGTCCATCAGCATTGGTGCCCCTCAGGGATGTGTGCTCTCTCCACTGCTCTTCTCTCTATACACCAATGACTGCACCTGTACTGACCCATCTGTTAAACTCCTGAAGTTCGCAGATGACACTACAGTCATTGGACTCATCCATGATGACGAGTCTGCATACTAACAGGAGGTGGAACGACTGATGTCCTGGTGCAGCCGGAACAACCTGGAGCTGAACACGCTCAAGACTGTAGAGATGAGAATGGACTTCAAGCCTGAAACATACTCGCTCCGACGCTGACGGGTCGACTCGCGGTCACGTGGTTGTTCGGCAGTCGTTTTCGCACCGACCTTTCATAGTCCCTGAGACACCCTGCGCCAAGCTCAGGAAACCACCGTCCTGCTGAAACTTACGTCACTGCATGGAATTCCCCCGCAACAGCCGATAATGCAGAAAAAAAAAAACGTCAGACTCGTCACTCACCCGACGTATTTATCCACATCTGTCCTGGTTAAAGCTCCATAGTTTTTATCAGTCAGATTCCGCCGTGCACGTTTGTTTAATCTCCATTCATGATTTTTTTCACGGTATGACTATCTTTATAAAACTCTACTTCCTGGTGTCGGCTCTGGGAGAGAGTCTGGGTTTTTTCCCCCTTTTTTTTTTCTTACAGAGTGCAGCAGCGCTTTCAGCACAAACAAATAAGCCATAAGTTTTTCACGGTTTGACTATCTTGGAAAACTCTGCTTTCCAGTCTGKGAGCGAGTCATTCTTTTTTCTTTTTTTCCCCCCGAGGGCAGCACAAACACACACGCCCACGAACTTCAGACCAATCACACATTACCATCGATATGGGAGGGGGGGTCAAAAGTTCTGCCAGCGGGTTGTGCCAAAAGGGGCTGTCGACACGACGCTGAGAAGCCCAGTAACGTAATTTTCGTCATTAAACTGTGACAACGCGTGCTGACGTCGGCAGTTCACAGGGAGTATGTTTTCAGCTTCAGGAGACACCCCCTGCACTCTTGCCCCCCACAATCTTCCAACAGCCCCGTGTCCATGGTTGAGTCCTTCAGGTTCCTGGGAACCACCATCTCACGTGACCTGAAGTGGGAGCCCAACATCTCCACCATCCTTAAAAAGGCCCAGCAGAGACTATTCTTCCTACGCCAGCTGAGGAAGTTGGAGCTGCTGATCCAGTTCTAAACTGCAGTCATTGAGTCCATCTTGTGCACATCCATAACAATCTGGTTTGGAGCAGCCACATGGCAGGACAGGAACAGGCTACAGCGTACAGTGAGGACGGCTGAGAAAGTCATTGGAGCCTCACTGCCCTCCATTCAGGACTTGTAYCRYGAAAGAACCAGGAAACGGGCTGAGAAAATCATCACAGACTCCACTCACCCGGGTCGCAACATGTTCCAACTCCTCCCGTCTGGCAGACGCTACAGAACTCTGTCCACTAAGACTGTCAGACACAAGAACAGTTTCTTCCCCCAGGCCATCATCATCATCAACAGCTGATCATCAGACATCCATCAGCCATATATTCTATACTACAGAGAACTATCTGTCACTCTTATTCTACATTACTGCATTACTGCACCTTATTCATAATCATCTACCTCTACAATGCTGCTGTTGTATTATTATTTAATATTAACTTTGAATAATGCTGTCATATAGTTTTTGGTTAAGTGAAGTAAAATGTGCTTGAATTATATGTTAAGTGTCTGTACAGTGTTGTTACTAGAGAGACACGAACTGCCGGAAACAAATTCCTTGTGTGTGTCAATATACTTGGCCAATAAAACTGATTCTGATACTAACTGTTGCTACTTAAGCTTTTGTCAATATAAATAAATTTAGCAGAAGGTAAAGCCTAATCTTCAGCCTGTAAAGTTAAGAAATGATAATAAAAGTACAAATCCAGGAGATTATTTCCTGATCAATGTACATGTTCATTTGTTTTGTCCGTTCAGGAGGGCTGCCGCTACAATGTCATGCACGTGGCAGCGAAGGAGAACCAGGCAGGGATCGCCCAGCTGCTGCTGGACACTTTGGAGAACCCCGAGTTCATGCGCCTCATGTACCCAGACGACCAGGAAGTCATGCTGCAAAAACGAATCCGCTACATTGTAGATCTTTACCTCAACACTCCAGATAAAGCTGTCCGTTCTTTTCCTGCACCAATGAGATTTTATCCTTACCAGGTGTAGTCAGTTGGCTGTGATGACATGATTTCTTTCTTGTTTCCTTGCTTCAGGGTTTCGAAACACCTCTCCACTTTGCCTGCAAGTTTGGGTGTCCGGATGTGGTCAATGTCCTGTGCTCGCATCCTGACATAGATAAGAATTGTAAGAACAAGGACGGCTTGAAGCCTTGTGATGTAAGGAGCTGTATTTCCTCAACTTAAAAAGATCCCAAACATTACCTGGATGTATTTTAACATGGAAAGTATTCAGGAGTTAGGAAGTGGTGAGCAGATACTCAGAGGAAGGCTGAACTCCATGTCCTTTCAGTAGCTGTAAAAGAATATTCTTGGTTAATGTTTTTTTTTAGCTGTGACCGTTTTAAAATCTTGTGTGCACAATCACTAACTGACCAGTGTAGGTTAATTTTAGATGGGTAAACTGCTCAGTTGATTTGACAACAGCTGCACGTCTGAACTTTGGTTTGTTTATCTGTTGTTGTATTTTTTTCCACAGCTTATTTGTAGCAGAAAAAATAAAACCCAGGAAGTGAAACAACAGATAAGTGACTACTTGGAGGGTAAGGATGCACGCATTAAAAGTTACTGTTTCTGTGTTAAATGTTGTCAAAGAAACATTCACTTTCCAAATTCTGTGGTTCTCAAACTGAGGCGTGTCTTTAAAAATTTGCAGGTGTAACTAATGTTTATATGTTAAAAGTCTGAATTGTTTCGTGTTCCACAAACCTCATTTCAATAACAACTAGACTGATGAACCTCGTGGTGTGGTGAGTGGGTCCACTTCTGTTCAGCCGGTGTGTGACCCTTCTAATAAAGTCTTTTTGTGAGGATGTCTGCCCCTAAATTAGGGACAAAGTCAGGCTAATAATGGTTGAGGTGAACATATGTGATCAGAACATGGACAAATAAACTATCTGATGATTCATTGTTTGAAACAGCAAACAGCCTCACTTTATTCTCTATGGGCCTTTGTGTCAGCAGAACAAAGACTGAACAAAAAGCTGCTTTGAGTCAAAGAAGGCAGACTTGAAAGTTCAGTGAAGAGTAAAAAAAATCTGTATGTATGTAACAGAGCAGTTTATCTGATTGTATGAAGTTTAAAGGGAAGATAAGTTGCTAAAGCCTTAAATACAGAAAAATTTTTGCACAGATTGATTGTTATTTTTATGGCTCCAACAGGAACTACACATTTTGTTTTGTTTCTTTCTACTTTTAAATATTCAGAGGCTGTTGGAGCACAGTTTTTATTCTTCTAGCAAAGTGGAATTGAATTTAGTAAGTTTGATTGTTTCTTTAGAAAAAGCTCAAACTAAAGGAGCAGTTTGGAGACAAAACACTTTTTTAACACAACAATTTACTGAGAAAAATTCAATAATTATTTCTTCCCTCCAAATTTGGAGAGTTGTGAAAGCCTAGACAACCACTGTGCTCAAAGGATAAAGTGTTGCATTAAATTTTACTCTCTGTCATCACATTTGAACTGTACCATAAATAATTTAACATTTGAAGTGATTGATCTATAAAAACAACTTCCATTGCCCAAAAGGCTGCACACAAAACATGAAATGGTGAAAAGACACTACCAATCACAAGAGACTATAAAAAACAAACAAAAATAAAAACAAATGCAAATTTGATAAGGAAGAAAAATAATTTAAATAAAGCTAAAGTGTATTAAAGTGTATTAAAAACCTTTTGAGTACAAACATGTTTGTAGGTGAAAATGTAAATGTGTCATTGTGACTTGGCTGCTGGTGGTTCTGTGAATTAACCACCAACAATCTGAGTTTATGTTTTRAAATGTCTGTCCAGAATTCACCAGGGGAAAAAAATAGGTTTAATGAGTTGTAAATTTGTAATAAAAGTTCCTTTCTGTTCTGATTTTGGATTGTTAGYGTGATGTTAGCATTCATCATGACCAACTGCAGACTGAACTAATCGGCTTGGGCAGAAACCAGCAGCTCCAAATACACCAGACACAAAGAAAACTGTTACTCAACGTTTGATTTTCTTGTTTGTTTTTTGAAGTCTTTTGTAATTTTGCTCCATCCTGTGTCCTGAATGTGTCACAGACCGCTGCTATGTCCCTTTGCTGAGGGCGACAGACAACACCTCTCAGCCCATCATTGGTGCTACGTGGTCACCCGAGTCCTCAGAGAGCCTGTCACTGATCCAGCAGTACACGAGGAGCCCCGTGGATCCTTTACTGACCGTCACCGCCTTCGCTGGCCCGCTGAGCCCTTCTAAAGCAAGTTCACTAGCCCGTCGCTCTGCATGTTTGTTCAACAAAACAGATACTGATCGTAACAAATTGTCTTCGAATGCAGGCAGATGACTTTCGTCGGTCGTGGAAAACGCCACCTAGAGAACGGGCGGAGCTTTTCCATCACATTCTGAAGTCGGACCCTGACCGAGGGGTAGAGAGAGTGGGCAGGTACTTTAAAAACCCAACTGTTTTCTCTTTGAGTGCTGTGAAATGTTCATTTTCAAAAGCAGGGCATCATCAAAGAAAGTTTTGACCTTAAATAAAAACTATTAATGATGAATCTTTACATTAATGTTCTGTTTCAGAGTTGTTTATTCCACTGTGTGGATATTTCCTAAATCCCAGGTTGTAATCTACTAAGTGCTGACTTGTTCTTGGTCTTCAGAGATTTAGCTCGTGAGATGGGCCACCCCTGGGCTGAATACTGGGGTTTCCTGGACTGTTTTGTGGATCTGTCGTCAGCCGAGGGGCTCCGCAAGCTGGAGGAGTACCTGAGTAAGAAGGATTTCAGCCCAAGGAGTCATGATGGGGCTGGACAGAATGAGACCAGCAACAGGTTTAAAACCCCCTCTCCAGGTATGCCTCTATTCCCCTGGGAGGCTCAGAGTCGCAGAAGATTCTGGAAGGCCTCATAAGCTATGTTTCCATTGACCATGAAAATGCGCAAATTAGAATTTCCAAAATAAATTTGCTCAATGGAAACACATCAGTTTAGAAAAAAAAATACGTTTTTTGACTAAATGTTTTTGCGCTAGGATGAGGTGGTTTTTCGGCCGTATCGAAATTGGTGTTTTTCACAAAACTGCAATGGAAACTTTTTTCGCATCACGGGAGTCACGTGATCAACAACTGGCTGTTTCTACTGGCGAAAAAGATGATGACAAAGAAGATAACAGGAAGTAGAAGTAGTAGTAATATCACAGAAGTAGTATAAAATAGTAAACTCACCGACTACAATTTCCCAAAAACACAGCATACTGTACGTAGCCGCTCCCAAGTATAAGGGGCTTGTCGCTGGAAAGCCTCGATAAAAGACGCCGACGTCTCCTCTGATGATGAGCGCTAGTGTCGTGGTAGCAACATGCTATGTGTTTACATCCATTACCGCCATGTTTGTAATGACTTATCGYGAGAACAAATGTATTCACGTGTGACTTTAATAGCATTTCTTACTTAATGTAAACACCGCAATTGTGAAACTGTGTTTTTTCGACATTAACAGAATATCAACAAAGTTTTGCGCACATTTGCAATGGAAACGTAGCTATATTGGCTGCCAGGAAGAGAGATTTGAGTCCTACGTTGACCATAAGTTGTTTTAAGTAGACTTTTTTTCATTTCTGTTTCCAGGAAAGCCTAAAAAATTCTGCAACTCTATTTCTGTGGGTGCCTTCCTGGATGAGAGCGATGACATCAGCCTCGAGGAGATAAAGAACCGTCAAAACGCAGTGCTCAGCAGCATCACGTCCTCCGCTTCAGCTAAGGATGTCCTGAAAGGAGCCGTGGGCGGCCGCGAGTTCCACATGGCGCTTCACCACCGCGGGGCGGACCTGATAGAGACGGCCGCCGAGCGGGAGCTGCTGTGCTGCTGCAGCGACGGCCTCCTGTCACCCGGCGCCGTCTGCAAAAGTGGGGCGTGCTCCTCCTCCAGTGACAGGACTCAAAACGGAGACAAAGTGTCCCAGCGCACCTCCCCGTCCTCCTCCGGGCTGCTGTCTCCCATCACCAACCTCATGGTGGAGTTCGAGCGCATGTCGCTGCAGGAGCCGCCGGACAGCCCCRCCCGCTGCAGGGAGAGGAGGTGCAGCGGCGGGAGTCGGCACAAGGACAACCGCGGCGCCGCAACGGAGCTGGGCTCCGGACTCGCCCGCCTGTCTCTCAGCCAGAACAGCGAGGATCCGGATCGGCCTGGCAGGAGGACGGAGGGAAGAGGCTCAGAGGAGAGCAGCAGCGGCAGCAGCTCAGAGGAGTACTTTGAAGCAGAGGAGAGTCTGGAGGAGCTGGGGAGGACTAGGGGGTCCGTTTCAGGGGTGCGCAATTTCTGTGCCAGGTCCAAGTCGTGGGACCACGGAGGCAGGGACCTGAGCAGCTCAGGATCCTCAGGGTCTTCCTACAAGTCCTTAGACAGCTCCGAGTTTCTCCCCAGGACCCCTCCGCACTTTAGAAGAGGACTTTTTATTGAGGGGTGAGTCACACCACCTGCTCCACAGATCAGGTTTATATTTACAGTTTGCAGCTGCAAGTGTGGCTGGTTAACTCTGTGAACATAAAGCATTTTCAGTTGTCTCACTTCACYAACAGTTGTGATAAAAAGTGAGGAGCAGATCTTCTAGACCAGGGGTGTCAAACTCATTTTCACTGAGGGCCACATGAGTGTTATGGTGGTCCTCAAAGGGCCACTTGTAATGAAGTTTGATGTTTCATGTTTAACTTTGACTAAACAGAGTTTTAACATGTCCTCTTTTAAACACTGATAAGTACTAAGTGTATGACTGAYTAAATCTGTAATAAATACAGAAATATTATTAAAAGTAAAACTAATAAAGTTTTACACACTGAGTTTTTAGTGAGTAGCTGCATTAGGCAGATTAATTTATGGTCGATGGTGACTTTAAAGCAGCTTATTTTCAGACATTAGCACTGTGCTATCCAACTAAATTGCTCAGTTACTTAAAGCCAACAACTCAGGGGCAGGACAATTGTTATTATCTTTTACCTTTTAAATTTATTTTTGTTGCATTTAATCATAAATTTAAAGTTTACCATTGATATAAGAAACAATTTTCATGTTAAGTAAAAAAAATAAGTATTTTTTATTTTTTTATTTTTTGGGGGCGGGTACCCCCCCTGGTGGGCCACACGGGAGTCACCCACAGGCCACATTTGGCCTGGGGATCTTGATTTTGACACGTGTCCTAGATTATAATAATGTAGTTAATAATCTCATGCTGTTGCAGGGACTCCCCTACCAGACTGGACAGAGAGGTCTTGGCAGCGATGGAAGGCACAGATGTTGACCCCCAGAAATATCCCAGCATACACARGTGGAGGAGCACAATGAAGTGCTACTCTTCATCGGACATGCAGAGGTTAGTRTAGACTGGTATTCTTCACAAATACTTGTTTTCAATATCTGATAGGTGGCAATAGAAATAAAAACAATACTTAATCCATCTCTTGGTGTAGGAGCTTGATGCTGAGGGAGTCAGAGGCCGGGTCAGCATGTGGGGAGTGAAAAAAACACCATGGAGTTTAGACCACCTTTTTTTCCTCTGCTGGTCGGAGCCTGTGTGTCGAGCTTCTTGTGAATTCTGTCGTAAGCCACCAATAAAAGCCTCCTCGTACCACAGTGTTGCCAGTTTAATGGTTGTATTATAAAAATCGAATAACAGAACTGAATGCTGCGGTTGTGGTGTTTAAAAAAAAAAAGGTCAGTTTGATTCTTGTCAAGGAGACGCCCTCCCGTTTAACGTTGCAGTCTGCTGATGTTAAATCTCCAGCTCCACCTGACTCTCTCCTAACCTCCATCAGTAACAGAGCTAAAAGACTCTGAACCTGCGTCAGGGCTGAGTCGAGGTGATGGAGCCTGTTGTTGGTCAAATGTGGCATTTAGACAGATCTTTAATAGTCACTGCTGAGTTTTAGAGCTCTTGAAATGTGGCACAGTGTTGCATGGTTTATTGGTTGGGTCTTAAAGAGCTTATACTTAGATAAACAACTTTTCTTTTCCTTTGCCTTGATCCATTTCACACTTTAAATGACACAATGTCTGACAGGAACCTGATTCTTTCCACTGCTTGGCTGTAAATCTGATTGTAGAGGTTCACAAACTTTAGCCACTCACATGGTACTAAAATGGCCAAGTTAATGTTTATGCCTTTTTTTTTCTTCTTTAAGAACCTGTTTGGTAAATTTGTTTTTATGTTCTGCAGCAATAGAGACCATTTTAAATGTGTAAAATGAGGTGCAGTTTGGTGGAAAAGTTAAGAAGGTTAACCGTTAATATCTTACCTGTTGTAGATAGTTCTTGGGAGGAGCTTAGTTTAGAGAAAGTTTAATTCTGACTAGATTAATGAACTAAAAGCTAGTCAAAGAAGAAGACCAAACTGTACTGATGCTATCTTAAAACAACTCCCAATTTCAAAACCTTTCTACTTGTTAAGGTGAACCCTSTTTAAAAAACTTTTATATCACCATTACATGGTGTTTTACATAGATGTGGTTACTTGCGAACACATATAGCAGAAATATGCTACTGCCAAAATAAGTACCTGATGCCAAATTAAAGGGAAAAGTTTATAAAATATTGTTCACGTAAAATATATGGCATTAAGAAACTCAGGTCTTGGCCCTTCTTGAACTAACCATTAGTGTGTCAAAACRGTCTGAATTAAACTTTACATTTTAAGACGGAGACCATTCAAAGGGCTATCTACAACAGGTAAGATATTAAATATTCATCACCTGTCCACAGAATCCCACTTCAGAAAACTCAGTAGTGAATATTGTAGGAGCAGGATGAAACCGTCCTTTACATTGAACACTAAAAAGTAACCATTAGTGTTGATGTGTGTCGTGTAGCTGGCCCAGCCCGGCGGTGAAAGCCCGACTCAAGATGCAGCACCAGACCCCCGGCTCYCCCATCAGCGGCCTGATGTCCCCCAGCGGTCGCTTCAGTCCCGTCCGCCACGCTGCCTCACCAGACTACAGCCCCAGCCGATACAGCCCTGCCAGTGTTAGCTACATCCAACGCATCCGCCTCAGACACCTACATGAACCGCTGTAACCGCCCCCCTCCTGCTTCTCTCCCTGCAGCAGCTGCACCAGAGCCCCCAAACCTGACAGAAATATGCACAAGTGTCTGGATTTGTATTTATGATGTACGGTACTATGTATAACAGGAATTCTCATCACATTAGGCCGTGATGTCGACTCGACTTTAAAAAGGAAAAAAAAATCTTCATAATTTATGTACTGTATGGGTGTGAACTRTAATGACTTACTGGAAGTGTTAGTGGCAACTGTGAAACACCTGTATTATAACCTGAGTCAACTGTTGGGGGGGGGGGAAGTGAACACAAGCCACACTTTCCTAAACTTGGTTGGTCACACACAAACAAGAGGCATCATTAGGATTCTATCCCTGAAGAGCTTCTTTAAAAAAAAACAACTAAAACAAGTCAAATCTTGATATTTTAAAAAATATTTTTTGTATGTTGGTCAGTAGCACAAAAATTAATGTTTTTAATAACAGGTGTTTTAAAGCAACTGCCATTTCCTATGTTGTTCCTCAGTTCGGGAATTGCCTTAATTTTCTGAAGTGATGGACCATTTCTCTGTCAAACTAGAAATATTTTAACTCCTACTTGAAAAGTATGAAAATAAATAATAAAAAAAAGATCTTCCATGTTTTTTGTTTTTTTTTTAAATTTTGGCCTAATAAATGTATATGTTTTCTTAGTTGTACCGGGTTTGTGTGCAAATATTTTGTCATTAACGGCGGCCTTAAACAGTGCCATTTTTAAAATTTTGTTTATTTACCAGTCTGTCACACCCATCAGTCAGGGATCATCTGAGCTGAACCATTAAATCTGCATAAATGTGTTTTTTAAAGCACCACAGGGGAAAAACTTCAGATATAATCAAACAGCTACACAAATCAGACCAATTTAGTAACTTACTGCCTTACACTTGGAGAACATGATTAAATGAAAGCTGCATTATGCTGTAAGTTATTCCCAGTCTTTGTATCTTTTTTTATATGTGGGGGAGGAAAACATGGCTTCTGTGCTCATTTAGGGGAGTTRAACAAAGCTTTAATTCTCAAAGTTGCTCGTAAATGTTTTTGGTAAAAGAGTTTACAGTGAACTCGTTTTCCAAACGGTTGAGTTTGGTGACGAAAGTCAAAACCATCTGGGTCCAAATGGTTCTGTTTGGTTTTGGAGTCTGAAAGCTCACGAGTTACGTCCAGAGGGAATACAGCCAGCCATGTTGAAAATTCAAATTGCCACTTAAGTTGAAACAAATGTTCTGAATGTATGTTTTTGTTTTTATTTGTGAAAAAAATTTTTGTATCCGAGAGCACAAGCCAACTTCAGATTGTACGGTCATCCTCATGCTCTGAGATAAGAGATCCAACTCTGCTCTCTGAATGTTTCTGAATGTGGAACTTTACAAAACTACACATAAAAAAAAGAAATTTCAAACTTGCTTTTAGTGCTTTTTAGTGCTTTATTAAAAATAAACCTAATAGGTGAATCCTTACTATGTCTAAACTGATTTTGCTTTCAACTAAATAAATCATCACTCCAACATGACGGCTGTGTTTACTTGTATTTCTCTGATTTTGTGTACGAACATTAAAAAAAACAAACTTGAGTCATACTTGTTTATTTACCACAACTACGTGACAAAAAATAACCCTTTGAGGGACTTGGCTAACATGTAGCTCCACAAATAGACTCGTTTGGCTTAAAAATCAGTCACTTGTACAAATTATAAATTACATTCAGAAGTTGCTGTGTTGCTGACGGCACTGGAGTAAACTCACAATCTGATAACATGATGTTTCTGTAATAAAATAAATATCAAGTTATTTTCAAGACACTTAAGGAAAGAACTGAGCTGAGTCTGTAGCCGACTCTGTTCCAGAAAGCGCTGCTGAGCCGGGCCATCAGGTCCGGCTCAGTTTGTCTGGGGGCATAAACCCTGCGTCTCCCAGAGTCCGGAGGCCCACCCTGCCACTTGGGCGGATGGTGAGCCAGGTGATGCTGCCGTTATGCAAACCCATACGCAGCCAGCCCTCTGGGGGGAACTGGAGAGCCCTGGGTGAAAAGAACAAAAGATGTCTTAAAAAGGACCGATTTTAGAAACAAGCTTTTCTATTATTTATCTGACGAATTCTTGAACCTGCTTTGTACATTTTTTAAAAGGTGAAAAAAAAAATCATGTTTGGTTAAAAACTAAAACGTTAAAGGATGGTGGGAAAGAAACTGGTAGCAGATGAATTATTTATAAAAAAAAAAGCAACATAGTTTGACGTCAGTGGTTAGCAAAGCAAAGAGCACGAAGGCCAACTGAGGCCTGAGCGGAGCCGCCGGCCGGCACAAACCTGCACACAAAATAACGGATGACATTGGCATGACACACGATGATCTCATAGCTGTCCTCCTTCTGCTTGGGGTCAGCCCGGTGGATGTAGCGGCGGAAAGCAGCCTCAATGCGAGCTCCATCTTCGTGGTACTGCTGGAGAACAGCGGAGAGGTTGAAAGTGACTTTGGTCACGTGGCGGGGGTTCTGTTAGAACCCCACAGACAGAACAGAGTCTACGATGCTGCTGGCATCCAAACGAATGTGCAGTTTCATTCTAAAGAGGTCGACTTAATGGTGAATATTAGCACTGGAGAAAAAGACTAAACTAAATCACACTGGACAGAAAACTGCTACATTAAAGATTGCTCTGGTAAACACTCTACATGATCCAGAACTTTGTGTCCCCACTTTTCTTAGTTAAATCAGAACAACCAGGACTATCTAATCTAAATCAATACTTCAAATTCTTTGAAATAAAATATGAAAAATTGAGAATAAAAAATAAAAACAGATCATCTCCCTGACTTTTACTGGTCGGCCWTTTGGGTAAGAACTCCTCTGACCGTCCTTGTTCCAGAGCTCTGATGTATGAACAGGAACTGTCTGAATGTTGGACGTTAAAGCTAAAGTTAGTTTCTCACTGGGTTGGGACCGTTGGACACATGTTGAATTAAAAATAAAAAGAGGCAAATGATCTGTTGCGGTCTCACTGATCTCTGAGTCAAACCAGTAAGCTGTGTTGTCTGTTTGGTGCAGCCATGTTTTTTTTAAATCATCACTTGCTTTTGTGTTGTGTTTTCTAGGCCGTGCACACTATCAAAACCAGGGTAATTTCTAGCTTGGAGATGAAAAAGGATTAATTTGTTATCATGAATAGTATATACACTCACCGGCCACTTTATTAGGTACACCTGTCCAACTGCTCGTTAGCACTTAATTTCTAATCAGCCAATCACATGGCGGCAACTCAGTGCATTTAGGCATGTAGACATGGTCAAGACAATCTCCTGCAGTTCAAACCGAGCATCAGTATGGGGAAGAAAGGTGATTTGAGTGCCTTTGAACGTGGCATGGTTGTTGGTGCCAGAAGGGCTGGTCTGAGTATTTCAGAAACTGCTGATCTACTGGGATTTTCACGCACAACCATCTCTAGGGTTTACAGAGAATGGTCCGAAAAAGAAAAAAACATCCAGTGAGCGGCAGTCCTGTGGGCGGAAATGCCTTGTTGATGCCAGAGGTCAGAGGAGAATGGGCAGACTGGTTCGAGCTGATAGAAAGGCAACAGTGACTCAAATAACCACCCGTTACAACCAAGGTAGGCAGAAGAGCATCTCTGAACACACAACATGTCAAACTTTGAGGCAGATGGGCTTCAGCAGCAGAAGACCACACCAGGTGCCACTCCTTTCAGCTAASAACAGGAAACTGAGGCTACAATTTGCACAAGCTCATCGAAATTGGACAAGAGAAGATTGGAAAAACGTTGTCTGGTCTGATGAGTCTCGATTTCTGCTGCGACATTYGGATGGTAGGGTCAGAATTTGGCGTCAACAACATGAAAGCATGGATCCATCCTGCCTTGTATCAACGGTTCAGGCTGGTGGTGGTGTCATGGTGTGGGGAATCTTTTCTTGGCACTCTTTGGGCCCCTTGGTACCAATTGAGCATCGTTGCAACGCCACAGCCTACCTGAGTCTTGTTGCTGACCATGTCCATCCCTTTATGACCACAATGTACCCAACATCTGATGGCTACTTTCAGCAGGATAATGCGCCATGTCATAAAGCTGGAATCATCTCAGACTGGTTTCTTGAACATGACAATGAGTTCACTGTACTCAAATGGCCTCCACAGTCACCAGATCTCAATCCAATAGAGCATCTTTGGGATGTGGTGGAACGGGAGATTCGCATCATGGATGTGCAGCCGACAAATCTGCGGCAACTGTGTGATGCCATCATGTCAATATGGACCAAAATCTCTGAGGAATGCTTCCAGCACCTTGTTGAATCTATGCCACGAAGAATTGAGGCAGTTCTGAAGGCAAAAGGGGGTCCAACCCGTTACTAGCGTGGTGTACCTAATAAAGTGGCCGGTGAGTGTATATATACATATACACACACACACACACACACACACACACACACACACACACACACATATATATATATATATATAATGAATAGTCGAGTGTGATGGAATAGGGTTTAAATGACATCACTGACCTTTCAAATTTATTTTGTTGCATTGAATCATAAATTTAAACTTCATTTAATATCTGTTTATTTTAAATTAAGTTAAAAGGGACATATCATGCAAAATTCACTTTTTTTAGCCATTAAATACATTTAATTATGTACTTTGACTATTTAGGAGACGAGAGCAGAAAATTTGAATTTAGTCTCTCCTGGTGCGATATCTTTATTTTCTGTTTGGGTCAAACTTTTTAACTCGTTCAGTTGTCTATGTTTTCTGAACGTTTACGTCAAACTGTGATGGAACAAACACGTWAGGTCTGGATTTACCAACTACAATCTATCATCTTCACTCTCCTCTGGCTCTGACTCTGGATGAACAGGAATTCCCTTGTTGACATCTTAATTCATTTCTAAATAAAACACTTTTCTATCAAACTAGAATGGACCGCTCTGGAAGCTGGAGGGGGCRGGGCATGAAGCGTCAGAGCTACTTTGAGACACACCTCAAGAAAATGGGTGGAAGAGGGGCTTCTAGAGTTACAATAAAGAGGAATTCAGACTAAAATATTGCAGTTCCACTTTATATAGACCCCAACTGAATGATTTAAAATGTGAAAATAACATATCTACTTAAAACAAATTAAAAAAAATAAGGCAGGGCCTGATTGGAGRAGTCACCTGTGGATCAGATGTGGCCCGCGGGCCACCTGTTCAGCAGTCCTGATCTACACACATTATTTTTCATCATAAAACACTAAAATCGGGGACAGCTTTAGCCAGGGACATGTAGTCCAAAACAAGGATTGCCCCCAGAAATCAGGAACATCTGGTTACCCTACTTTAGAGGCTGCTTCAAGGTTCATGTTTTTTTTTTTTTTTATATTCCGGCTTTTTAAACCTGGTCATTCAGGGCTGTGGTCTGTCAAAAACGCTTACGTGAACTCTATTTGAGAGAAAATTCATGGTGCAGTTTTTTAAAAACACGTTCATAATTCAAGCCTCTATAACTCACACAAAGAGACTGAGATCCAGCCAACACAGATCTCTTTGTGGGTGCTGTTCTCCCAAACCATCACCAAACCACAACTCCGTGAGATACTGCTCCAAACAAGCATTTGACACGACTGCAACACAGAGGCAGCAGCAAGAGGCCTTAACGATGGTTTGCAAACACACAACCGTCTGTCCCACAGTGGGGTTCTCAGGGGCAGAGTGGGTGCAGGGCCTCTCACCACAGCGTCAGGTTTCCAGTGGGTGACGGGTGGGACCGGTTCAATGGGCGCCCCCTCCCTCAGCAGGTCGCAGCTCACCAGCTCCAATCCTACAACCGMAACATTCGACGAGACAACAAGTCAAGTGTAGGTTTATTTTTGATGTGACGAGAGCGTCGTCTCTTTACTACCTGGGAGGTGTTTGCTGATGATCTGTGCCGTTTCAGTGGCCCTGGCCATGCTGGAGTGGATCAGAACATCGTATTTCAAACCCAGCGCTGCTAACCTTCGACCTGTCAATTCAGCCTGCTCCCGACCTGAGAAACAGTCGACGTGACAAACACATGAATCRAAAACAAACATCGACCTGCTGAACGTTGTTTTTGTGAAAGGAGTGCAGTAAGGAACCTAAGGGTGTGAGGATTCTCTCCTTGTCGCTGCTTCCACTCAGGTTATACTGGGAGTGTCTGATGAGGAAAATGTGACGCGTGGCTTTGGGTTTGCTGCTGTCCTGTTCAGAGCTGGGGTCTTCAGAAATGCTCTCCCTCTTCTTTCCGTTGGACAGCACAGACGGTTCTCTCCTGGACAGTAAGAGGCAGGGGTGATTTTCAGATTACAGGTGGCTTAACGTGAGAATAAAAAGAGAACTGGGTTAAACCAACATTGATTCAAGATCATGCAGCACGTCACTTTGAAGAAAATCTCTTAATGTAGTTTGACAAATCTCTCCTCCAAACCAGATTTTACACAGTGGTTATTTAACAACCAAAATTAGCTTAAAATATTTACTATAGATTTTAGGATCATGCTTACTTTATATTTCATATGATGTTGAAACATTTTTTATTAAAGTATAAAATAAATCAGAATAAATGAGACAAGATAGAAAGAGAAAATAAAAGTACACAAAACGAAACTGTACTGATGCAGCCAGCGGACAGGAACATACTTGTCCCAGTTGGAGTCCCAGGACTGTCCAGTCGGAACTGGGGTGTGTGTGGCAGGTGTCCAAGCCGGCTGAGCAGCCTGGACGACGGTCAGCCTGGACCACCATCCGGSCCCTTCTCCGCGGTGCTCCCCGAAGCATCCCCGAGAGTTGGCTACGGAAGCCCCGAACACCAAGAGGGCCGAGCCTCCAGTAAAACCACAAATAAGTTTAAAAGTTTTCCTGTACGACATCCTACAGTGGAAGTTCACTGCTGCTAGCTAATTATTAGCCGAGATTAGCCCGCCTGCTGCAAAYAACGAGGCTGTTTCTTCGTGGGTAGGGTTCGCTTTTCTGTTTCTAATTGCGTCTGAATCTCCAGCGTATAAACAAAAATAAAATAAAAGTCTTAATAGCACAACTASGTAACGAGAAGTGGTATCCAGATGTTAATGGACTCTTGGACCGAAGACCCGAAACATGCGCTGAATCGGAGGCCGGCAGGTTTCCTCCTTCAGTGGTCACGTGATCGATGACGCATTACGCAAGGTTTGTTTTTGTTTTTTTTACCACGGATATTTTTTTTTCCTTATTGGAAAAAAAAAGGAGATGAAAATCTCTATAGAATATATAAATGAAATGCTACACATGAAAAACGTATGTCTTATTTATCATCATTCAGTTTGGCAGAAAATTGTTACTTTGAATTCTATTCTTTGTTTTACCAAGTAACAAGTGTTTCCCTATGAAAACTCATGTAACACTTGGATGACTTCAAACTAAACTTATAGGACCAGACAATACAGGCCTGTCCTACAAAACAGATCTGTGATCTGTTCTCAACAGGAATAGTTAAATGAAAGGTTCAACATATTTGCTCTATATGCCTTTAAAATTAACCTAAGGCTTGTCTGCAAAAGATGTTTTATTCTACTTTTGTATATATATATATATATAT